GACACTACTAGGGGCTCCTGGCCTTACTACTAGGAACAAGAAGCTACCAGGGGCTCCTGGCAGGGTGTCCGACTTGCTGGACTCCCCACGACACTGCTGACGACGGATCCTTCCTGTCGAGGAACATGGTCGGTGCGCCGCATCACGTGGCCAAGGCACTCGAGGCGTCCGAGACGAAACGGAACGCGAGACGCTGAAAGACCTGGAACCCCAAACAACCACAAAGAAATTGATGTTTCCCTAAACAGCCATTTCCGATGTAAAGGATTCAATTGCCATATTGGAACAACCAATTGTTTCTGGTTGTTTGGGGTTCCCGGTATAACCTGTTTTGGCACTCCACTCAAAGCGGGCAGGTGACGGTTGACCTGGAATTTTTCCACAGGAAACTGCTTGGGAGTCGGTGAACGTGTCTAAAGTTTGTTGATAGAGTGCCGTCCTCGTCCTTTGGTGCGACCCCGAAACACATTCCATCACCTTCCAGCTCTTCCGCCGCAACCTCTGGGCTCGTGTTCGCCGCAGGTGGGCATGGACATGATTTGCGCCCAGGGCACTGAAGCAGGTGGCCACACTGGAGATGTGGCGACCCTGCCGCTGATCCCGCAATGCAGCTTGGACAGCTTGGAGGACGTACGTTCGCGTCGCCCTCCGGAGCGTTGGCCGGAAAGACACGGGCAGGGATGTGGCGGCTTGAAGCTTGGATGTGCCATTTCCTGCATGAACTATCCAACGATTGAAGTGCGAAGTGATCGAATTTTCAGTGGAGACCGGGTGATGTTGATGTGGATGTGTGGAACCTGCAGCAGAAACCGCCGGCAGATGGTGGACGTGAGCTGTGTGAGTGTTTGGAAGGTCCAGAAGCTGGGATGTCTTCAATCTTCTGTCTTGGGAGGATTGAGATGGTCTTTTACATTGGCTGGAAACGCAAGGTCTTTGGGGATACCTCCACAATCCCTGGCCCTGGTGCGTCCCCCCTGTTGCGATGATTTTGAGATATACCCATACCCCAGGATGCCCATCCTCCACTCATTTGGGGTCGACCACCAGTGGTCGCCTGCTGAAATTCACATCAATTCACTGTTTGAGAGTCAAGCATGCTGGGAAAGTGGGCAAACCACCCAGTGACCCTTGCACGAAACACCAGTGTTCCATGAATGTTGATGAGTTCTCCGCCGATGTTGCCATTGGACATGTGTGCATTGTTTTCCTGAAACAGGGCAATGTGCTGCCTTCGATGAAAGCATACTAAACCACCCAGACACTCCATGTATGGCATGTATATACCTACATTGGGATGGTGCCAGGGCCGTCAATTGATCGGCATATATGACTCACATGAAGTGTCTGGGAATCATACTATGCCTGCTTTTGGTGATCCAAGGTGTCGATGCCTGCCGGGGCAAGAAGAACTTCTTCGGGCTCCAGGTGCCTGTGGTGGCCGCAGGCCGGACCACTCACACGCCAATCAACGCCTGCGCTTCATGATACGAGTCAACGATGGTCATGGCTCTTAACTTGCCGATGCTTAATGGTCGCAAGAAAAGAACAAGTGATAATTAATCTACGTTCATTGGGATATAACTCGGCCAGCGTTATTTCTGCAAGCATGTGCCGTGTTTTGTGGTTCTGTGCCCAGACTCTGCCAGCAAGCCTTGCCAGCAAGCCTGGCCACCTATCATTCAGTGGTTTGACGGTTTGACTATCACAAAGTGCCACACCAAAGGCTTGTTGCTGACCTCATAGCAAATACCCCATCTAAGTCTATAAGTACTCTTTTTAGACATGCATGAACGTTACCTAAATTATGATGCCGTGTTCTTGCACTGGGACTTGACCGCAGGCACTTGACCACGTAGGGTCGCAACTCTGGGCCAATGGGATGGAGTCACGATATCAGAAGCGGCTTGACAAGGCCAAGTAACGAATGCTCCCACACCAACAAGTGTTTCTCCAGCTCTGAGGGGCTCGACTAAGAACTACTTGGGTGAGGCGTTCATGAAAAACGCAAATCAGCACTGGCAGGCAGCAAACAGAAAGCTCACAAACAGAACTTGAATGACGAAGAAAGGCCAACCCCGAATCAAAGAAGATGATGTGTATCCCAAACGATACCTCCACTCTCAACGGCTGATCCCGTAGATCACAGGGATTAGATGATGCCCGTAGATCCCTCGCAACTGATCGACGTCCAGGCGGCATCTTCGATGGTCGCGGATTGGGCGCTGCGCTCTGCCTGGGCGCCACTGGTGTTTGGGTCGGCACGCGCTTCATTTGCTCAGAGGTGCCCCCGAGTTTGGCACATGTGTGTTTGAAGGGACATTCGATGACATTCGTATTACGGTTAGACATGACATGTTGGCATGTTTGGAGTGGTGATGATACAGGAAAATCAGTTCTGTGCAGAAAGATGTTGTGTGACTCCTGACTCAAGTTGGTATTTAAAGCAGAAATCTACGGGGCATCGATATGTCCTTTCAAGGGCACAAGGAGCTCCTTGCTCAGAAGATGGAACAATCTTTGGAAACTTCTGGAGGAGAGTTGAACACAGCTACATACCTCATCCAAAACTCTCCTCCACCCAAAGAATCCACCCCATTTGGGCTATACATCATATACCCCATCCCACCCGTCTCCGGCTTCGCCATGGCCGTTGCTCCACCGATGTCGCCTGTCTCGCGTGTCTGTGTTGAAAACGGCCAGGAAGCGAATGCAGGGCCCGTCCACAAGCAGCGCATCATGAAGGTCTCTTCCGAACCGAAGACGGAAGATGTGGGTGGAGCATCCAGAGCTTGGCCGAGCTTGGCCGAGCACACTCCCACCAAGACAGTTCTGGGAACACGTGTGGCTTCGAGTTTGAAGTCTTGGTCAATTCCAGAAACCCTTGGCTTTGATTGAATGTAGAAAGAGTGAAAGTGAAGACACGTCATATTGAAGCGATTTGAGATTTGGAAAACCAAATCTATCACATCAGCGGCTTGGGGTCGTTGGAATGGGGTGAAGCGCTCGATTGCTCGATTCCATCAACACAAGGATGCAGACAGGACATCAGCAGCACGGAAGGTGATGTTTTTTTCAGGTGCGAGTTATATGTGGCTTCTGGACAGAGCTAGGCCGCTAGACGTTGCCCAGAAGTTTCGAACGGCCAATGACTTTTGCTCGATGCCATTTTTCCCCAGGGTCGAACTTGTTTGGGGCTTACTTAATTCTGATACAAGACCATACTTCCTATAACGCCCTTTTGGACGTCCGACGTCCCGCCCTTTGAACGTTTGAAGGTTGACAGCCCGACCGTCGTGGCGTCCGCTTGTAAAGGCGCAGAGCGTGGACACGACCCGCACGGAGGCGGTCGAACATGGCGTCTCACAGCGAAGCTCGCCGAGCGTGGCCGGTTTTTTAATTTGTAATAACTGCAGATCCAGTGGAATCATGGGTGACCTACCTGGTGATTCCTAGATTGTATTCAGATGATGTTCCTAGATCAGCCATGAGCTATGCGGTGATGCAGATCATGGGACGCCCAAGCAACATGTCATGTCATGTGTGCGTGTTTGTGTTTCCGAGGAGTGCCTATACCAAGAAAGAGTCTTCGAGAAGTGAGCAGAAAGTGAAAGGATCCAACACTGCTAGCCTGAGTTCGGATCCAGGACTCATCACCAGAGTATGTCCCAAATATAGTGTCCCACGTAGTGTCCCACGTAGTGTCCCACGTAGTGTCCCACGTGCTGTCCACGCGTCCGTTCTGCTAGGAACTCTTTTGACAAAAAGCTGAAGATGGTAGTTTGAGCTTTCCACGGCCTACTCTCGATCGAAAACGCCAGATCTTCACTGGCCGACCCTGCCGGGTCTTGAAGACGGAGTATGTGAAGAGCTGGGACGGCAAAGAGCAAGATCTGCAGGACGCCGCGGCGCACAGTTCTGTGCAGCTCGGGAGAAAACGCCTAGGTTTATAGTCGTTTCCCTGAGGTGTTGAACAGGAGGCTTTTCGGTGGAAAGAGCGGCGTGATTTGGTGCGTAAGTGCGGTTTGGTGATAGATTGATAAGAACCCCCCAGTTGGATTCAACAACTTCTCCACACTGACTGTATGTCAATGTTTTTTTTTGATGAATCAAACGTTTATACAGTGAATGGTTTGGGCCTTCGATCCAGATCTCTTCCCAATGGGGAAACGGAAGTTCTTACTGATTCTAAGGTAAGAATTGTAATACCTATATATACAGTGGTTTCAGAGTAGATGGCACTGGCACCCCAAGATGTCCTTTAGATTGGGTCCATATCAACCACCTCTTAGGGGTCTGTGCCATCTACTCTCAATCCACAACATATAAATATGATATCTCTTGCGGTTGGGCCTGGCTCGGGAGAGGTGACCCTGACTGAACGGAAGCAGGCTGGTATGGTCACTGGCTCGGGAGATTAGCGGATGGCTTGGGAGGGAAGCCATAGTGCCTTCAGAGGAATGTTCATGATTCATGAATGTTAATGTATCAATATATGTATCACATCATCTACCGCACTGCTCACTGTTTCAAGAACTCACTTTCTCACTTTCTTCTTCGGAGGAAGACGAAACCTTTTGCCTGTTGCCTTGCACTCCCACGGAATAGGATCACAGCCTCTTCGGATCACACCATGGTGCAAGCAAACCCAGACCATCCACAAGACCCTCCTCGGATCACACCGCCTCGGCTCACACTCGCTGCCTCTGACAGGAGAAGTTGAAGCAAGGCGTGGTGCCTTGGGTCGAGGACATGAAGGCGCGTTTGGGGCGAAGGACACGTCGGCCGCGCGCTTCGGCGGCTTCACCTCTGCCTCCGAATGACGCTGAACAGAAATAGAACGCCCAAAGCAGACAAGGGTCATGAGTAGGGTAAAACTTCTCCTTCTTGAGTGTCATTGAAGCTTGTGGCGTCTTCTCACCTGGTTCGAAACGGCTGATCCCTCTTCGTTCACTTCTCCTTCTCCTTCTCCGTCTCTCCGCCGGATCCGGTCCCGTCCGGTCCGGTCGGGAGCGGACGAGTCCGCTCCGCGGCTCCAGGAAGACCGTGCGAAGTTCTCCGACTTTCTACCTGCCTTGATGGGCCAAGCCGTTGGAGGCGGGACGGGTCAGCTGGGTCGTCGCTGGTTTCTCGTGCCGTTTGTCTCCGCCGGCGGCTGACCGGGGAGACGAATCCTCTCTTTTCTCGGGGCCCTCCTGTTTGGGAGATCAGAATGACCCAGCAGGTGGAGGTTTCATGTGGAAAGACCATGAAAGACTGGTGTTGCAGGTGTTGGAAGATGTTTTGTGTTTCTTTGCACATCTCTCATGAGGCCCCGAAAAGGTTCGATGGTCGCTTTTGGAAGCCATATTGAGTACTAAGTCATCAAGCCTGTCGGCTAGATGGTTTCGGATCACCACTGTGAGTCATATTCCAACTGCTGTGTCAGAGTATCATAGTCAAGAGCCCAGACTGGATAGACTGGTTGCTTCGGGTTGATGTTCCTTCTCCTCTTCCAGGTCGCCCGGTGCGAACGGTCTCAGGTGTGAGAGAAGAGAAGAAGGCCGAGCAGATCGTACAGGAGCGAGGAGGTCGTTGAAAGAAGAGGGAGACGGTTTTTAAGGAGTTGGAGGGGTCTACTCCTTTTGGTCAAATACATGTAAATACACCTTGATGATGCCTTGATGTCCTTTGGTGCTTTTGGCTGCGGAGTTTCCTTGGGTCCGCCTCAAGGCGGACGAGTCGTCTCAGAGTCGTCTAGGTCCGCCAGGGCGGACCGCCGAAGACCGTGTAGATGGTGACCGTGTTCCTTCGGCGCCGCCAATGGTTCCGGATGGGTTCTTTCCCAACCAAAACACCTCCGTCGATGGGTCCTGGATGGGTCCGATCTTTACATGGGGGTCCCTCGACATCCGAAGTCGATCGACGAACCGAGTCGATCCAACGAAGAGGATGGGATGTACAGGCTGGGAAGAAGGTTGGTCAGTGGAACCTCTAGTAGTTCCAGTAGCTTTGTGTTTTTCAGGCCATATTATATATATATAAGTATATATATATATATATTCCGACGGTGTCGTTTCGGAGTGGCCAAAGACGGCAGGAGATGATGGGAGAAGCTTTGCAGTCGATCCAGTCAGTCCATGGTCTGGTCAGCCGTTTGTGAGCAGTTTTGGAGCAGTTCTGGGGGGGTAGGAAGTCTTGTCAACTTGTAGCCTTGAAGGAACTCCTGAAAAGTGCGGCACATCATCTTCCTTCTGAACAATGGAAAAGCTGATATAAAACTTCCTTACCCCCGCCGTGTGCAGAAGCCACAAGAGTTGGCCACCCAGGGCCGCGACAATTGGTCGCGCTGACTTTTGAAAGACCTGGGGGGGCGGCAGTAGGCCACTAGGCCATCATCTTGGTCATGGAAAAGTCCCCTGATCCTGTCGCAGACTTGCCGGTGGGGGGGTGGAGGACTGAGCACTGAGCACCAGCCTTCCTCAGAGTGTTCAATCCTTGAACGGCCCAGAATGATGGGAAGGCCAACAAAGTTTGATTATGTTTGATGTGGCTTCTGTTCGAACCTGTGTCAGCTCGTGCTAATAGGAGGCGTCTTCTACACGTGGTCATGGTCAATGACAAGCGCGTATCTGGTGTTTTCTTGGTCATTATACCAATGGCACTGGGAGTTATATAATTGTTTTAAGGTTCCCAAAACACTTGGTAGTGTAGCTTGCTTTCCAACCGGACTCTCCTTCGAGGTGTGTACAAAAATAGATGGAACTAGCAGTACTAGAATCCGAGATGAGCAAAGTGCCGTGCTTTCCGAACAAACATATGTCAAAGGTACGGGGTTTAGCAGGAACTGAAAGTACAGTGGGTCCAGAAGTTTCAGCTGCTGTTTCCAGATCCTTCCTGTTTGGAGCCCAGGTCTGGGAAGATCGAGCCACACAAAGCTGGATGCCTGCTGAGGCCTTCCAAATTAGACGGTTTCACCCTGTTTCACCCAGATTTGCCTAACATCCTAAAACCAAAACGTCGACGCCCTCACGTCCTCGATTCTGTGTTCAGGAACTCACCAGCGAATCCAGGGAATGGAACAGCCAGTCAGTCTGTCACCAGGTGCCCAGAGTAGGACTCTGGTGTAGAGTCTGTCACCAGGTGCCAAGGTGCCGAGTGTCCGAAGTGACGAAGTGACTCTTTGCATGTACTCAACACCGCAGCCTGCCACGGCTGCGGCATGCGAGGCTCATTTCCGGAGGCACAAATCGATCCATCTCTCTCTCTCTCTCTCTTTCAGATGTCAAGGCATCATTTGAAGCGGAGATCATGTTTGATCCTCGAAACCTATGGAAAGCAAGGGAACTCACGTACGCAAAGAAGGTGAGGAAAGATTGGCTTGACTATTCCAAAACATCCCATCATGGACGTTCCAGCGTCGAATGTTTGCTATGAGGATCTGGTCCATGCCATCATTTTTTTGAGGAATTTGGATGAGACCGTTTCCGTGACTTACCGTTGGTCCATGCTATTTCTTGAGCGATAATGTACCGGATGCATTGTAGTCGGTCAACTTCTGTTTTGACGACTGCAGCAACTTTCAGATCAGGCAGTGAGAGGTCAAGCAACGAATACAGATACAGCTTGACTGTCGTTTCGAATGGGGAGCGGGGTGTCACTGGATTCCACTGCCCAGGTTCCCCTGTTCTTCATTGACGAGGATTGGGCAGGCAGATATATTATATAATGGATTGTAATATATTGTGATGGTAATTAATATAGTTACAGTATACATACACTATACACATCCCATTATCAGAAAGTTTTTGTACATCTGTCAGGTAGTTTTCGCCCAGGGTGTACCTCTTTTTGCTGGTGTTCTCTCCCAAAGCATCCCACCGAAACCGCATGCATGTGCGCCTCACGCCGTGGGCACCCAGCGGTGCACTGCTGGCCGTGAGCGGGGCACTGCTGGCTGGACGACGGCGAGGAAGCTCGGTTCAATGCAGCGAGACGTGCGGGACAAGCGCCCCTCCGGTGCGCCAGTGTTGCTTGGCCTCAAGGGACCGAGGGGTCACCGGACGGAGGATATCTTAGATATCAGATGGGTGGGGTGATCGATAAATGGGGCGATCTGAAGAATGTTTCTGGAAGTTGCTGGAAGTTTTGCGAGTGATGTTGCGCAGATGGTTGGTGCCGCAAGACATCCCACAAGACATTCAGATTTGTGTTGTAAAAACCTGTTCATGTTACTTATATATTCATGTATATATATATGTGTGTGTGTGTGTGCGTATGTTTGTTCGTTCTTTGTTTGTTGGTATTGCTGTGCCTTGATTGCTTTGCCGGTCTCCAGCCTTCAGTTTGGACCCCCCCAACAACCCGGGTGTCCGCACCCGTTTGCGCCTCCCGTCCTCCGCCCTCGCAGGCTTCATGAGACCCGCGGGTCCGCGCGGCGCCGGGCGTGGATTAGTCGTGAGCCGCGCCGTGCAGCCTGGGGAGATCCTTCTCAAGGAGAGAGCCGTGTCGCTGGGTCGGTCAACACCGGGGGGAGAGGGGGACGAGTGCCTGATCTCGGCCAAAAGCGCCTTGACCCGTAATTGGTCCTGAACAAAGGGGCATTCGGCGTAATTTGCTCAAAATAGACTCGGTGTCTTTGTTGTTTGAGGTTCTTGAACATGATGATTGGTTTATTATGGTTTATATGTTAGATGCAAAACCAATCCGGGTTGTGGTGATTCATGATGGTTCGGCCCGACATTATTGAGGTGCGCCCGGGCTGTTCACACCCTGGCTGTTCACACCCTGGCTGTTTCTTCAGTAATTCCCAACTTGTGCCAAACATGTTTGGCGTAGGGGTTGATTGTGAAAACTGACATCCTGCCATGGATCCGATCAAGGAAACCGTGTATAAAAACTATATTGAAATTCAGCAGGCCTGGGAGAAATGCCTGTCATGGTTTCTGAATGGCCCGGCGTCCCGACTCTTCCCTGATGTATTGCAGTGGCACAAAGATGTTGAAGATACCTGGTGAATGGAGAGATTCAATGCCATCACCAAGGGTGCATGGCACCCTTGGACCCACATCAACTCACCCTTTTCACCCACCAGGCACCCTTGGTGTGGAACCACGTGGCACACCAAGTGCTTCACCGTGCCAACCCACGGGTTTGGTCATCCCTCGATCTGGGCGTCATTCCCCAACGATCTCGGCGCAACTGTCCGTCACCATGTTTTTGCTTAGTTGGGGGTTCCCATATGAACATGATCTTGGATGGCTGCACTGGACAGATACGTTTTGCTTTTTTTTGGTCCAAATATGAGTTGCATTTGTTCTACAACCACCCTTGTCAAGGGAGGTTGGGTCATCAAAGGGCAAAGCATTATTTGGAGAGTGCTCCGCAGAAGCAAAGAAAGAACTTTGCTTGCCTGGATTGACCTTTCAAGAAAAATGTAGGGTACACATCAAGAAGGTCCGGAAAAGCCCTTCAAGCCGTATAGACTTAGACAAACATTGTCTTGGATCTTTTATATAGGGTATGTTACGGTATGTTCCCTTTTCGGGTATGTTCCCTGTAAGCACTCCCAAACTGTGGATTAAGTATCTCTGTCCCAAGGTGTAAGGATTCCAAGGTACCCAAACTGTGGATGCCAATCCCTTGGTCCACATATGTAAGCCCAAACTGTGGATGGTCACCCTGTGGTTTGGTTTGGGAAAGGGGCTGGAAAGGGCTTGCGAAGACTGACAAGTGGTGGCTTGAGAATCTAGCAAATGAATAACTTTAAAGTCGACAGCTTTTATATTCCTCGGCGTTTCTTTTGGATTCGGCGCTTTTGGATGATTTTGGCTGAAATCAGGGCACAATGGCATCTTGGCAAATTTTGTTGGCCAACGGTTCCGCTAGATATAAGGATGAATGGGGCATGAATAGGTGGCAGGAAATGGGTTGGGCAGGACTTGTTCGGAAAGTATTTCAGCTTTGATACTATACACAGTAATGTACATATAGAGCAGTTGTATTTTTTTCTCTTGTTGCTTTGATGAGTGCTTTACTGTTTTTTTCATGAAGAATCCAGCCATTTAGAGTTCAGGTTGGACAGCACCTGCTCCTGGCAACTCATCCAGCAGATCTTCCCTCTCGTGGGCCCAGTCCACGCACAGCCCATTTGGGCCTTGTGTGCCAACTGGGTCGAAGGTGGCGCGAGGTCGCTGGAGGACTTCTACCGAGGAGAAGCGCCGGGCGCGGGCCACTGGGCCAAAGATGAGGAACGATGTTTACGTATTTTTACTCCCGACGTGGATGATTAGGATCCTTGGATATGCCTTCGATTTGGACATCAAACCAGTTAAAACTATGGAAAAGGGGTCAGGGATCGCATGGGAGGACCAAAATCCTGATGGATTCTTGCACCCTTGCAGATGCCGAGTTCGGGATCGCAGCTGAGAACGGTGGAACAAACGGTGGAAAACACATCGGTGTCCGGGAACCCCGTCTCGGCCACGAGACCGTCCATGGTATTTGGCGTTCTTTGGCTTCTGGGAGAAACCCAATCTAGGCCACATACACCTAAACCCTAATTCGATGTACTTGTTTGATGTCTGGAGGAGTATATAC